TTGTACCCTGTCCAGGGTCCTCCGAGAGGAGACCAGCACCTCGCCTGAAGGTGTCCACAGCGATGAGGTCACACCTCAGCTTTCTTGTTTCCAAGCTGAACAAATGTAGCGACCACAGCTGCCCCTCCTAAGTCACACCCTCGAGACCTTTCACCGTCTTGCTCAGCCTCCACTAGACTCACTACAATGGTTGGATGGAGGTCATGTATTGAGGCACCTGAAACTGCCCCAGGACGTGAGGTGAGGCTGCCCCAGAGCAGAGCAGTGCAGAGCAGTGCAGAGCAGTGCAATCCCCTCCCTCGCGCACCAGCGATGCTGTGCCTGATGCACCCCAGGGCACCGCTCCTACTCCTTACTCCATACTCCCAGCAGCCATACTAATCTCTCCCACCCAGGAAACGGCAAAAAAGTACTTCCGGGAAAACTTCCACATGCTCTGAAGTCAAAATGATGTTTTATCATCCCAATCTCCTCCTTACACCCTTTTTAAGGAAACAGGTCTGCACTCAGCTCCAGTCCCGTGGGGGACGAGCACACCTCACGGCTCAGGAGCTGCACCACCAACCCACAACCGGCCCGGAATCCCTACCAGAGGTCGCCCATCTCTCATCTTCGTCATCTGCGCGTCTCCACAAGTAGGAGACCGCCTTAGAAAGGAGGGAGAGCATGCTGGAGCGCCTTCGCGAAGAGTCGGAGCCCCAGGACCGCCTTAGAGACGCGGCAGAGCCCGCAGAGCCGAGCCGAGCCGAAGTGCGAAGTCTCCCCGCGAGCGCCTCGAACCCGCGCTGCGCGGCCAATGGCGTTGCTCGCTCCGGTCACGGGGCAGCGCCGCGCGCCTCGGGGTCGCCCGCGGGCCCGCGCAGGGGCTGCCCGGGGGCGGGCGGAGCCCTCAGGGCGGCCCCGGGCGAGCGGCCGGGCGGGGGTCGGCCCTCCGCAGGGGTCGGCCCGCGGCGCCGGGGGCACGGGAGAGGTGGAGTCGCACGAGGTTGCCACGGAAGAGCTTAAAGGAATAGGCTGTGTACAGCTTGTTGCTTGGTGGTGGGGCGGGCGGAGCCCTCAGGGCGGCCCCGGCCGGGCGGGGGTCAGCCCTCTGCAGGGGTCTGCCCGCGGCGCATGGGGCACGGGAAAGGTGGAGTCGCACGAGGTTGCCACGGAAGAGCTTAAAGGAAAAGGCTGTGTACAGCTTGTTGCTTGGCGGTGCTACTGTCTGAAATTGTGGTCGTAGTGTATGCCCGAACCAGGGAGAGCCCACGGACGGGCTGTGAGCTCCCCTGGGCTGAGAGCTCTCCGTGGCTCTGGGAATAAGCCGGGCACCGAGTCCCTCCGGTGCCGTGCAGCGGAGTGGCTTGAAGAGTATGCACGTGGCACATTGGTGGATTGTGATGCTCTCAGTAGCAGCCAGTTTCAAAATGATAGGATAAACTAGAATATAATAAATTTGCCTGACAGGAAAAAAAAAAAAAAAGGTGTTTTTGACTTAATATCATTAATGAAGGAGCTGCTGTAGTGCCTGAGGAAAGATGATTTTACTGACTTGTTCACTGTCTCTGTAGTTCTAGAACTGTCTCTGTAGTTCTAGAGTTACTATCTCTCTAATTCTGTGCTTTCTACATCTCTTGTATTTTTTACCAGTTCTCTTCACACACTGCAGTTCAGACATCTTGTGCATAGCCTCTGCATTTTGTTCAACAAATGCTGTTTCACAAAGCAAAGTTTTTTGAGTTGATGAGCTCAGCATCCCAGTTGTTTAAATAGGATCTGCCACATGAAGCTGTTAGAGCAGGCGCTTTCAGGAGGTTGAGCAGAGCAGTGTGTAATTTTTTGTAGAAATCACAAAATACACTGCCTAAGTTGTGTGACTAAAGCAGTAGTCGTCTTTGGCAACTTTAGTTTCTAGCTGTGTGATTCACTCGGCGTTATTTAGGCAAAGAAGGGCTAGGAATGCATTTCAGACGGTTTAACACTGTTACAGAGTTCTGTACAGTTCCTAGAGCAGAATAAATTGTGTTTGCCAGTAACTGCACGCAGGTTCCAGTGTCTCATTCTGAAGTAACTGCGGTGATGCCATTGGAAGGAGAAACGTGAGTCAGTGCTGTTTTAGAAAAGTGCTGAGAGAGTGTTAGCCTCTTTTGGGCACATTGATTTAAAGAATTTTAACTACTGTTTTCTTTCACTGAGTTTCCAGTGGGAGTGCCGGCAGGGGATTGTTAGTTGGCAAAAATGTGGTGGATGAAGAGATTGTGTTTCTGGAAAAGATGCTGATTTACATGAAGAACTAAATCCAAAGAAGTTTGTATTATACTGGGGGGGCAAATGTTATTCTAGGGGAGCAAGGCATCAATTTGAAGCTATTTGATCTACATTTTGATTTTGGTTCAGTACATGCCCTAAGATGTGAGCTAGGAAACATGGACTGAGAAATCAGCTTCAGAGAAACAAAATACGTCACAGAACTGGTTTTAAAAGAGGTGAAAATACTCAACAAGGAATACAGGTAATGAGCTAAAGTAGTGTAATTAAATATTGTGTGAAAAATCTTAAGTGTAGTGCAGGTATTAATTCATCATAAAGTGGAAGAGTTGATCAGGATGCTAAATGTAAACTTCACCAGAGCTTCAGGTGTGCTTTTCATTTAGATTTTGGAATGTGAGTGAAACTTTGTTCAGGGCTAGGGAATGTGGCCCAGGACAGAATGCTTTTTCCTTAGTCCTTGATAGCAAAAGTAGGACTCTGACAAGTTTATGTGCCTTTTTGTCACACTGGCCCTTGTCACTTGAGTTATAACTGGTAATCTGGTTTTTATCTTTTGTCGTTACTGTGGGGGATGCTTGCATTGCACACAGCCTGTGGCAAATGACCAAGTATCTGCTATAGCTGCTTCAGGCAGCTGAATTTGTTCAGTGGTCACTCCTGTGGTGGAAGTATGTAGTTATTCATAGCTGCTCATGATTTGGTTTAATTGTCATCTTTTGGCCTAACTTAAAATTAAAGCACTTAATTAGTAAATCCTTTTCAGAAGCTTCTCGTGTTGTGTTCGAATTGTTATACTTGCTACGGTCTTTGTGTAAAATTTCTGTGCATTCTTTAGAATTAGGAGGAATCTCTTTGTACATCATATTTGTACCTTATCTAGCATTAGAAGGTCTTAGTCAATGACTTGGGTTCTTGTCTTGCACAAAAGAGAGACTTTTTCTGGAATCAGGAACATGAGATGAAGGGAACCTAAAATAAGGGCCCCAGAAAATTTTTAGAGTAGAAACTGAACTTTGAACTTTAAGTGTTTTTTGTTCATGCTGATGCCAAGTACAGAGGATTAATTATGCAATGAACCTCTGTGCATGCGAAAGAGAAATGGGAAATACTGAGAAGTACACAGGAAAGGGGGTAGGAGGAGTTTCACTATAACCTGAGAAAACACTGTATAACCATGCTTGAGAGAGGGAACTTTCAGGTACAATGGTGGCTGAAACACTTGGAACTGTGAACAAGTTGTTCTAGGGTTTGAACCCTGCTCTGGTCAGTGGTGCAGGACTTTATAAATTCTTTATATTCAGAGAGATTAGATCAAGTAAATACCTAACTATCTCATTTTGTGTAAAAAATAAACAAAGCAAAAAAAACCCCCAAACCCACAAACATTCTCCCTAAATTGATCAAAAGGGTTAAAATATGATTGTGTTTTGTGTCTATGGTAATTTGTGTCAATCAGTTCCTAGTATTCACTGAAAAAGCTGTCAGGTAAGCAATACCCATTATCCATTAAACCATGGTCTTTGGAAAGTTTCAGATAATAGAAATAGTTGTGCAGTGTTTCTTCCATGAGAGAGGAACAGTAGTGCTTAATTACTTCAGAAAGTTCTGCTTGACTGTACAATCTTTTTTCCCCCCTCTTTTTAGCACAGTTTACAGATGTGTCGATTGCTGTGTATGGTGTACTAATTTCCCTGTTTAAATCTATTAAAACAACTGTAACATTTTAATATTCTTTCAGTATTGGCTGACATGAAAAAAAAATAAAATCTACAGTCTGTACAAACTGAGAAGTTGTGCTGTTCAGAAGTTTTTCTAGCATACTTTGAAGGTGATGCCCTTCAGAATACTGAAGATTTAATTGTGTCTTAGTTACAAGAGTGTTTAAAGTTTAGACAAAAGACCCTGTCATTGCTGTAGCTGTCAAGGTGCCAACATCTTCAAGATAAAAACGTCCTTTTTTTCCCTCTTTTCATTGCTTAATAAGCAGGAGGACTGGATCCAATGTACGCTGGCCATTGCATGTCACTGCTGCCTGCTAGGCTGAAAATATGTTGTTTAGTCATCTGGGTGCTCTGTAAGTGCAAATGACGGCGCGACTGAGATGTGCCAGGTTTATCTGAGCACCCCAGAACACTGGGCTTAGTGGAAAAAGACAGAAGTGTTCTACAATGAAAATAATAATCTTGATAGATTTCTAACCTCAAACTTTTGAGCTTCCCATCTTGCTGAGATACTGTAATACTTGAAATATTCTCCTAGAAAAAAACTGCAGATAAAATTGTATTGTAAGTACATTTTGCTCTTTTGAAACAAGAGCTCGTTTGTTAGATATTGTGATCGCTGGGTGTTATGATAGCCAAAAGTGGAAAAGTGAGGAAACTTTTATTTAAGATGCTAAGTAAGGGGTAGTACTCAAATAAAAAAGAGACATGAAACTTTTAATTTGTTGGTCTGATTTGGAAGCAGCCCTATGAGATGCAGTACAGTCATTTTCTAGTGTGTTCTCTTAATTAAAATTCAGGAGGCATTTTCCTGTTCCCTGGCTTAACTGAAGTTCTTGCTGTGCTTTTGTTCCATATCTGAATAGATGTTGTTGAAAGCCAAAGTGTAAGGGAGAACTTTTCAAAGCCGGCATGACTCACTGAACGGTGAGAATATCACAAAGTGTACAGGCAGCTGTGTTCACAGGGCTGTTTTAAACTGACAGCTAACTTTTCAGTGGAAGGTAAGCACGAAGGTTTTTAGCTGTTGAAAAATATACAGTAACTTAATTCTGATATGAGATACTCCTCGTGGTATTTTAACAGATTGGCAAGCAGTGAGGTGAACAAGAAAGGATGAAGGGAACAAGAGAAATGGTTGATACTGGGTAATTCTGAAACAGTTTGCTGTAGCTGAGTTATTGTGGGTATCTGTGTTCATGGGACTCACAGGGAAGTCTGTCATTTTAGGTAGTTGATAAAAAGTGTTGAAATTAAATGGAATTTATGTTGAAACCTGTTTGATTATCTGTGCTGTCCTAGAGTTAAAAAAGTAAAAAGCTTTGATTATAGAGGTATGCACTAACTAAACAGCTCTAAAACTGGTTCTTAGATCTTGAAATAAAAATTCACTGAGCTATCATAGATACACAAACTTTAAATATGTTGGTACTTATACTATGTTATTATGAACTGTGGCTCTATGATGAAATTTAGTTAAGGTGTGTAAGTTGTTGGAAAGTTTACATATTTTGAAATGTAAATACAGTAGTTAAACATTGTGTTCATTTTGTCTTGAATACACAAAAAACCTAGTTGACCACTGATCTGAGTATGTGAAGGATCTGAATTATACTTTTTCTCTTTCTTTGTAACTTATTATTATTATTTAATTGCCTTTGTGAAGTGTTATGACCAGGGAAGAAGGTTACAGAGAAGAATTTAGCTATGACAGGATGCCAACTTTGGAGCGGGGAAAACAAGAGAATGGAAATTATATACCAGATATCAAATCCAGTGACCTTCAGCTGTCAAAGAGGCTGCATCCTTGCTTTAGTTACAAAACATGGATATTTTCTTTGCTGATGGGAGTAAGTACTTTAAACTATAGTAAATTTAAAAATACAAGTGTGGCCTTAGTGCCCAGAAATCTGTTCTGTTTGACGTCATTTGAAGACTAAGAATTTCATCACTGATAGTATTGAAAAGTAATCTTTGTAAAAATAGAAACGTATTTAGCAAATTTGGAATGTAGACTGTGTGTATTCTTTGACTATTTTTTACTAATCAGAGGTGGTATATGAAGGCTGATTTTTATCATTAATATTAATCATATAAGTAGAGAATAAGTGAAGTAGTGGTAAATATCAGCCCATGTGTATGTATAGGCAGTGCTTTTTGGTAGAGTATGTAAAATATGTGGACCATTTGCATTGTTTTAAAAATTCTTCTAACTATTAAATATACTGTGGCTGCCATGATAACATTTTGGCATTAAAAAGATATGTGGTACTTGATTGCCACATTTGTCTATCAGGGTTCAGTAGCCACATAATTATTTGGTATAATCACTAACATAGCAAGGTATATACTTGTATTTCTTATGCAAACAACACAGTGATTTAAATTTTTGTGTTCACTGCTAGAATCACAGGATACTCATCTTGCATGTACATCATATGCTTCTCCATGTTCTGAGCCAAGTTAATTAAACTTCATTATAGCAATTAGAATTTGATCTTTTCTTTTTCTGTCAGCTTGTGTGTTTTGAAGAGTACTTTTTATTAAGAACTAAGATTGTCTCACTGTTAATATGGTAATTGCTTGTTTATGCACAGTGAATAAAAGTATTGCCTTATTTTTGTGGAAACAGCTGAGCATTTTTTCCTTTCTGACAAACTGCAAGGCTTGGATTTCCTTTCAGTTGTACTGTTACATGAAAAGAGAGGAAATAAGTTCTGGCTTTATTTGCATTAAATTTTCTCAAACTTAATTGTCCAAAAGAACAACTGTCTGTAATTTACTGAGTAGTTATAAATTTTTGGAGATAATAACATTTAATGATCATTTGCTGAAGTCATATTATCAAGAAGAATGAATTTCATGATTTCATGAAAAAATGAAAGTGCAGTTTTATTAATGAACTCTTAGATTAAATTCCAAATAGATTTTTCTCCCAAGTGTTTAGTCTCTATTAACCCTTCTGAAAGACAGTGTCCAGAAGAGAAAGTCTCTGTATGCTGAGCAATGTAAGTCACAGTGAGCAGAGCCATGTACTTGAGGGAGCAGTTGCCAGCTGTAAAGTGACATCTAAGTGGCTGATGGGCTGGTTTTGTGCAGGAACAATTTGATGAACATCAAGCACAATTTCAACTCGTTTTTCTATAGACTGTTTTTTCAGTCTGCCAAAATTCTCTGTGTGTGTGTTTATACATGCACATATGCTTTCCTTATTCTCTGGGGTTTTTTGACAAGGGCTTTTTAAAGACCCTCAATAATATTCTGACATGAAAAAAATACCCAAATAAAGCAGAAGAGCCATTCTGTCTCTTACCTTTCCCAGCCCCTTCAAAGAAATGCCTACTAAGAGGAATGACAAGGAAAACCAAAATAGTGTTAGTAGAAGACGCTAATTGCTTATTGCACTGTGTAACTGTGGTAGTTATGAAATAAACTTATTAAGGTAAGAGGAGTAGCTCAACATTTTTGCATGTACCACTGGATGAAAGCAGGAAGAGAATTTGGAGGGGTGTAGGGACATAGTGGAAGAAACTTAATTAATGTATCCCAATTCTATTTTTACTGCTGTGTTCCAATTGGCAATTGCCCAGCTGCCCATATGCATAATGAATGTTGGACTCAAGCAGGGAATGCAAAGTAGAGACATAGCTGAGGTCTCTGAAACATTTTTACCACTAAACACTTAAGTTACCTTTTGACTTATATTTAGGTGTTTGCCAGGTCAGGACAAAATTTTTGATTTAAATATGTTCATTATTAGGTCTTGTTAACCAGTGAAATATCTTCAGAAGTCAGCGTATTGTGATATTTTTCTTCAAATTTATTCACACAAAAACTGCATTCTTAAAAGTAGCTCAATTTGATTACTGATTTATGTCTGACTAGTTTTTTTTATTTTTTAAAACCCCAGTTTTATTAATATAAATTTATTTGTTGCTTTGCAGACTTGCCTCCTTATTACTTCTGGATTTTCACTATATCTGGGAAATATTTTTCCATCTGAAATGGATTATTTACGTTGTGCAGCAGGTTCAGTAAGCATTCTTAATTATTTGCTGTGGCTGTTTGACAGCAAATGCAATAGTAAATAATTTTTGTGGGTTTATGTCTTTTATTCTGTCTGTCTTTTTCTACTACTTTTCTTCATGGAAAATTTAATTATATTTAACAGTTCATTAAATGGAATTTCATTGCATGGTTAAAGGAATTACTGTTGTCATGAAGACAATTGGGTTTATGTTACCAATATTTTTGTTATTTTTGTTAATCAGCTCACCATTGGCATGCAAGATTAATCTGCTGAGCAGTTTTTCTTTGCTTGATTTTTAAGAAAATTTTTGTTGCTATGTATTTGGAAAGTTTTCTGGCTATATGCTATCAAAATGTATTTCATATTGTATCTCAAAATGTTAATTTTTCAGTTTATTTTGCCATAATATCCTAGTACCAAAGCAGACTAAAATTCTCTTGAATATTATTATTTTATTAGTAAAGTGTGCATTAAAGATGGCTGACATTTTCCAGAGCCCAATATTTTTTTCTGTACTTTGAGGGATGCATACACATATTTACTGTATTATATATGCTTAGTTTGTGCTTTAAGTCTCATGTACTTGCTTTGTTTATGGCAGTATTTTGTCATAGTTATTTTCTCACCTTGACTTATATATTTGTTTTTAAGTTAGGTCCAAGATTACTTGGAACAAACAAGTCCCAGGAGTTGCTCTGTGAATGAGTTACCACTTGGGTTTCCACCAAAGGTGTTGAAGTTGGAGGAGTTTAAGTCAGTAGCCTCAGAGATACCTTATTCTGTGCAGCACTGGTTTAGTTACTGAGATGTCTCTTTCTCTGCCCCTGATCTTGACTCTTTGAACTTCATGTTTAAAACTTTCCAAAGACCTGTAGATCTTTGGATGCAGCAGGTTATCTCATTGGGTTTGAAGGTGTGTGTATGTGAGGAAGGTGTTAGAGCTCCTGCTGCAGATGGTGATGTTGGTGCAGTCAGAAGAGCCTGGAGAGATGTGGAACCAGCTGGCCACCAAGTGTCTCATTTAGCCTGAGGCTGAGTTGCTCTCTAGACTTTCACCCATCTGGACTAATACTTCATTCAGTTGCCTAAACATAGTCCTGTAGTGTTCTAGGAACTCCCGTGTATCCAGGACATAGAAGAATTTTAATTATGTTCAGTAAAGGTCATTTAGGTGTTGAGGAAGTGCTGCCAAGAATTTTACATATCAGTATTAATCTCTTTATAGCATTCAATTGTTAAGCCATTAGTGTTCAGGTGTGTGGGAGGAGAATTAGAAATGTGGCATTTATTGCATAATTCATTGTTTAACATAAGAACATTTCTGTTATAATTTTAGTAGGCATCTGTGTAAAATAGAGTTGGATCTGTAATGGAGCCATGTCTGTTGTGGTGGGGAACAGTTAAGGGATAGAGAAATTACTTTGTGAGACTTTTCATTTGTGCATGACTTTTCCATTTATCTTTGCCCTCAAGCAGGGAAACATAGTCCCCAGTGAGCCAAATGGACATCCCAGGCACAGTTCTCCAAGTGTGTCTTGACTACGCAGATTTTCACAAGATTTTCTTCAGAACTGTTTTGACATTGGGCAAATTTTAGCTTACTCAACAAGGATGATGTCTGTTTAAAGAATGTGCAGGCCCAGTTTGGGAGTAGCATTGTTTTCCCCTGCTCGAGGATCTCAGGCCTTCTAGAGTTAATTTAAACTAATGAAGTCATGAAATACCTCATGAAAGACCTTCTTTCGTTTACTCATCACATTATGCTGGGTAGTTAGTAAAAACTGAGGAATATGGAAGGTATATTTAAACTTCTTGTAATTCTTAGACACTGATTGTGATGAATGAGTTCAGTCAAGTGAAACTTTTTCTTCAGAGTTTCTGATCTGCTGTTTGTCTAAGTGTACTGAATATGAATTCAGACACATAGAATATATCTATAGAAGTATATATAAAATTCATTGTGCAGAAGATCCCACTAGTCTTTTCTTTTAATTTTCCCAGTGTATTCCTTCAGCAGTTGTGAGCTTTGCTATAGCAAGGAATAAAATTAATGTGGTAAGTATGAAACTTCATTGTCAATTTTATGTATCTCTCTATATATCTACATCTATCTATATCATCTATCTATATATATCAGTATGTGTGTTCATATTCCCCCTGTGTTTGAAATAAGAGAGAAACCCATTCTGAAATTGTTTTTCAGATACCAAATTTTCAGATTCTCTTTGTCTCTACATTTGCTGTTACAACAACGTGTTTAGTTTGGTTTGGATGCAAACTTGTCCTCAATCCATCAGCTATAAATGTAAGTTACCAAAACAATTACTAATTGTGATACATTTATCTTTGTTAAAAAACAAGGCAGGGAGGACTTTAGGTGGCTGGAGATCACATGTCATTACTTTGCTACCAATATCCCAGTATTCCTGCTTGGTCTGTGAGGAGAGGTCATGCAACAGTAACTTTATATTTTTCTTTGCCCAGTGTTAGTTACCTGCAATATTATTCACAAGAATCTAATTTATTTACTCTTACTTTTCCAACTTTTGTTATTTACTTCTTGTACCTGGGTCTAAGTGAGATAGTCCATCAGTTTAGTTACAGTGCTTCTGGACTCAAACTTGTGCATCTACTTGGCACTGCAGTGCCACATGTGACATGTGGCCTTGCCAGCTCATATCAGTATTAGCTCTGTGTCAAAACGGAATTTTTAATCTGGATTAAATTGTTCTCCAGGCCACACATTTGAACTTCTTGTTTTGCCTAACAATTCCTGTATTCTTCATTGTAGCACATTTTCTAGTAGTTTGCCACAATGACATTTATCGTTGTTTGCGTAGTTAGTACAACTGTACAGTCTATTTGGTACAGCAAAGCAAATAGTTTCAATTATCATTTCCTAAGCAAAAGTGAATTTCAGCATCCAAAAAAGCCTCCTAAATCTGTCACTTGCTACTTTTTTCAAAAAACACATGCTGCAAGATACATGTCAGAGTATTGGAGGAAGACTGAGATTTCATCATCAACAAAGCAGGTCTGACAGGAGGAAGCAATATCATTCTGTTCTAAGTTTTTGAACAATGGTTTGCTATAATTGTATAGGTTTGGAATGGTATCAGTTCTTTCTAGTCTTTTGGTACTTTGCCCCAGTGGCCTGACTGACTACCAGTTATATTTTGGACTGCTGATTTCCATCGTGGTGCTTTTGAAGACAAGAAAGGGAGATCCACTCTGCCTAACTTGTGTGCCTGGAAATGATTCAGTCCATGTAGTGTAGGTACCTACCTCTTTTCATGAGAGTAATAAGGGACAAAAGAGCAGTGTTAAGTATTGCATTCACTTACTTGTCTCTTGAATGTGAGCAATGGCAGCATCCATGTTTTTTGCAATGTAGTCTGCAAGGGTCATGAACCCATGAAGAGTGTTTGTGAATGCTTTACCAGCACTAAGCAGGGCACAGAACCAGGATCCTTGGTGCAGTTCTTTGGTTTGTGTTTTCATTCAGCATCCAATATGGTAGCACACCGTTTGGGATTGCAACCTAGGAGTTGTGACCTGTGGCCCTCCTTCCCCTGGGAATCTTCCATTATTTGCTGCAGTGTTCTGGGTTCACATAGAAAGGCCTGCAAAAAGCGAATGTACCCAGCAAACACTTCCTTATCATAAGCTCCTCTTCTGGAGGACAGTGATAAAATCTTCAGGCAGAATATTTCCATAAATGAAGTAAATGTTTTTTCCTTAGGTTAGGCATTCTGAGAATAATGTTGTTCTTGAAGTTTGTCAAGAGCCAAGAAAATAGATAACAAAGTATGTTATCAGTAGATGTGTCTAAATTTGACAGAAACTAGACAACCTGCCTAATCATGCTAGACTCAGCCCCTTCCTTTATTTTGAATATGGAAGACATAACTCATGTCTGGGATTTTGCTGACAGATAAATTTCAACTTGATTCTACTTATTCTGCTGGAAATCTTCATGGCAACTACTGTGATCATTTCAGCAAGGTCTACCGAAGACTGCTGTACTAGAAAGAAAGTAGGTACCCTTAAGGATTGTGCATGTTAAAAAATTCTCCATTTTCCTGTCTTACATATGCTGAAAATTTATTGACAACACCATAACTTTGCATGCTAAAGCTATATTTGACCTACAAATAAAAATACAATACTAAACAGTTATTTCTTTTATCTTTTAAAAGTGCAATGACCCCTCTGCAAAATTACCTGTTGAAAATTACACAGCACAGAGTTCTTTGAATGTCTTATGAATAGGCATGGCAAAAGTTTTACTTCTGTTTTGTAGAACAAAACTTGCTGTTTGAAACATTAGAATACTATAGCTTGTATGTATTCATGCAGTACCTTTTTGAAGCCTGATGCAGAGAAAGTATTTGTCTTGTATGTCAGTTTGGTGGTATCTGCATGACATGTCTTGACTTCAGGATTTGGGGCTATTGGTATAATTTTCTTTATTCATAAGTGCTTTCCCAAACCCCACCCTCATTTTTCTACAGCAGTACTTTTAGGTAAGAATGAAGCAAACATAATATGCCATTGGAAATACTGATTAATAAAGTTGTGTAGTGCCTTGTCCTCCTTTGGCTGCTGCTGATGCACATCTGTAAAGCCAGAAGGCTCAGGAAGAAAGTATATTCTTTGAAGGTGGAAAAGGGAGACAAGATGAAAATATTTCATAATTGAATGGTGGCTGTGGAACAGCTAATCTGATACTAGTTTGGTTTTCATGTAGTTGATGTGGTCTTACCTTGGAAAACACCTTGATGTGTCACTGTCACCTCTTCTGGGCCAACCAGATATTGCATACCACCGTCAGGATCTGTAAGAGGCTGTACAAGATATTAGAAAGAAATCTATTGCTTTGTATATTTTTTATCATGATTTTTTTATTCTCCTCTAGAATGCTGCACATGACAGTGCCATTGTTTTGAGCAATGTCAGCTTTCCTGCTCGAATTCTGAAGTCATACTCAGTAAGAAAAGCATTGTTTCATTGAATCAATTTATTACTTCATCTTTGTAAGTGCTGAGGTTCTTTAAAGCCAGGAAGAGATCACTGTAGTTAAGAGCCAAAAGAATAAAGACAAAAAAGAGAGATATATAGTAAAATATTTCCTTTTAGAAGATTGCAAGATAAATTGTAACTGCTCTTTATTATGGGAAGGAGACTACTTAAGGATAGTGTAAACTGAACTATTGTTCGGGGGAGCTAATAAATGAAAGCATAAATGTGTATAATGAAGCTGATCTTGTTTTCACTTAAGCTAGCTAGTGTTTTGCCATATTTTAGAAATGGAAAACATAGACTTTATGCCTAGCTAGTAGCATAAATGCATTTTATTCTTTCCACTGAGGTCCTTTCTATATGCAAGTAGGAAATTTCGTGTTCAAATACATTACTAATAATTTGTGTGCTCTTATTTGTTTTAGGTAATTGAGGTGATTATTGGAATTTCATCAGTATTTGGTGGAATAATTGCTTTGAATATGGATGTTCTAGTCTCAGGTCCATACCTCTCAGTAACATTCTTTTGGATCTTAGTTGCTGTAAGTAGTGCAAATAGAAGCTACTCTTTTAAAACAATGGCTTTTATTAAATTTGTTTTTCACTTTTCTCCTCCCCACTGGAGTATTTATTTGGCTCTAATACTGTTTGGGAATTGCTGCTTAGCAAATGAATTAGAACTTCAATATACTTAATATATTTATGCAATATTTTTGATCTGTTTTGATTTGCAATATTTCAGTAAATTGTTCTGATACATTCTATGTCCTCAATTCAGTAAAATGGAAATGAGTATTAAAACAAGGAAGTGGGGTGTCAAAAAAAGTTACAGGTTTTAGAATATTTCAGGCTGCAAAGGAAATGTTGAGTTTAGGTTTAGCATGGTAGAATCCTTAGAACATCTTATTTAACCTCTCAGTTTTACCTGTTTTAAAAGTCAGAGGCTGTGGTTGGTGACCCTTATCCCTAGTAACAGCCTGTACCCAGGAGCAGTGGATTCATAAATGATGTTGTGCCACCCTGCTTGCCATGAAGGAACTGGTTGAGAAAGAAGACAGTGAACACTAGGTTTATATATGTGTCTGTAAAGTCCCTTTGCATGAAGTGGAAAAAGTTCATAAACAAACTTTTCAGCATTCATAATACACAAAAGAAAAAAGCTGTGAATAGTGGAAATTACTGTAACTCAGTTGTAGTTTTTGTAATTTTCAAGTCAATAAATACTTTGTTACACTCTTTTGCTTAGTGTTTTCCAAGTGCTATTGCGAGTCATGTAGCTGCTGAATATCCAAGTAAATGTCTGGTAAGTTTAAAATTCTTGGACTTTGTCATTAGAGTAGAATAATGCTAAGAAACTCTGGCTGATAGTGGGCACTAATCAAGTTTGCTCACTGTTTTTAGCTGCTTCTACAAAATGTGACAGAAATATGTAGCAGGAGTGTTAGCTGGTATCCCTTAAAAGAACTCTAGTAGGTCCTTTGGATGCTTAATTTCATCAGTTCTAGAAAAGCATTTGAAGAGTTTGGTTGGTTGGTTGGGGTTTTTTTGGTTTGTTCTGCTTTGCTTTTTGGATATTTTGTAGTGATTCCTTGGGAAAAGATAATACTATAGAAAAATGACATGCCTCAAATGGTATGCCAAGAACTGCTGGCAAGCTCCTGAAAGGAGGTTCCCTTTTTCTTTCATTATCAGTTGTGTTTCTGAAAGAAGAAAATTAGGTGTGCAAACTGTGCTAGACCTAGAACCTATTTTAAGCAAATTCTTCATCTATGTGATTAGCAACAATAACTAATAATATTCAGTAGAGTTAATTTATTCCTTGAATGTTCTAGGTTTGTAGTTAAGGCTCCTTAAAATATCTGTTCTAATTAATAGTCACTTATTTAAGTGAGTAATGAGGCATAACCACAATTGAAGTTAGAATATAATCCTGTGGGGGAGATATTTGAGTGAAACTCAGCTGCTGTTGTATGGCAGTAAATTTGCCTCAGGACACTCAAAGGTATTTGCATAAGATATTTTAGGTTGCAGGTCTGCAATATCTGTTTTTAATTCTCATTAATTCATATAAATTGAAGAATAAATGGTGGCTTCTGTACTGGCCCTCCAGATTGGGTATTACTTCCTCTATGTATGTGTGGAAGGCACTTGTAAAATAAAACAAAAATGTCATCATCTATATTGAATGAAATATGAATTACAAACCAGCAGTGTTTTGGCTAGGTAACTTGGGTTATACAAAGCTTGCTTCTGTATCTTCATGAAATGTGGATGGCTCTTAGTATTTCTCTTTTATGTATAATCTTACACAGTTTTACACACTTCTGTTATGCTTGCTTCAAGGAGACATATCTTACAAACCAGAGTTAATTTTTTAGATTATTATTTAACCATTATTATCTTATTTTTTAGGTTGAGGTCCTGATTGCCATTAGCAGTGTTACCTCTCCTTTGTTGTTCACTGCTTCCGCATACTTATCCTTCAGTATCATGCAAGTTGTTGACATCTTTAAAAGTTATCCACCTGCTGTGAAAGTATGTGTTTTTATGCAGTTGAAAAATGAACTTCTATATGTTACAGTAGCATACAGTAGCAAGGCAGTAGCAAATTAGGGAATATATTAGGGAATAATGCAGACAAGGGAATAATGCAGTACCTTGTCTGCATTATTAGGATTGAATGAAATCTTATAGAAATTACTTAAAAACTCTTGTTTGATTTATAAGTGAAAGTATGTTACATCTATTGGCACCCTGGAATTGTAGTTTTAAAAAGATAGGATTTTATTCTAAAGATGTCGAAAATAATATACAGTATGCTAGAATCCTTGGGGCTTTTATAATTTTAAATTAAAGATTCGAGTACATTTTTCTGTTTCTTAGGATGTTTACCCATCGTTGGGACTATAAGCTTATACCTAGATTCATTCAAAGTCTGGATTTGGACAAAGAAGAAAAAGTTTGCAAAGTTTAAAGCATTTCAGTATGAAGTGTTACCTGTGCATTGGTGAAAAGGTTTCTTGTGCTCTACTAGCCAAGTGTTTGCCAGTCCCTGATGTTGTTCAGAGGACCACTTAGGGGTATTAGACCAATGTCATTAAAAGTGTCCATTAGTCATTAAGTAGTCTCATAACTTTAGAAGAAAAGAGAGAAAATGTTTATTAAATTGATATCTCAGGGACTGGAAAATCAACTTCTGAGTCTGTGATCCTGTTCTTGTTCTGGAGGAGTGTACTATTTTGTTTAACCTCAGGAATGATGACAGCTTACATAACCTCTTTAAGTAGCTTCTCCTGTCACACATGCTGGAGACAGATGACTACACTGTCTAGACAGTTGGTGTGACCCTGCAGAGCATTTCTTACATTCTCTGCTTTGTGTGTGGTTGCAGTAAGAGTGTGCTGCTCTGCACAGGGCAATGAACTGTAGAGCAGGAGGTAACAGCAGGACAGAGGAAGAAGGGTAACTTGATTGGCAAGCAGGGCAGTCCTACAGCACCCCAAAAAATAGTAAAGGAAGGCAGGTCCAGCCACAGTAACAGGGTTCAGTGATTGCCAGGTAAGTCCACAGTACTGAGGCAGATCCAAGGTCATCCAGCAACTCAGGTCAGCAGGGCAAGGTCAGAGCCAGGAAGGCACAAGGCCAGGCCCAAGCATAGCTGTGACCTTGCTTAGGTCAAAAGCAGCAGTAGGACACTATTTCAGAGGATAGTTTCCTCAATTCTGTTGTGTTTCCAGAGGAAAAGATAATTTGCCAAATTAACATTTTCTTAGAAGTTATAGATCTCATTTACTTTCAGCAAAGTCAGGCACTAAAATTTTGGTTGAAACGTTATGGTGAAATAAACTTTAAATGATAATTTGATTTTAAAAGTCTAGATAGGAATTTTTAAAGTATAGAGATGGGATAATATTTTATTCAAGTAGTTAACAACTTATGTCTATTTTCAGCAATCTTATGATGTACTCCTGTTGCTTCTGATGTTGATGCTGCTAATTCAGGCATGCCTTACTATTGGAACTGTAATACAGTGTGTGAATTACAAGACAAAAATGAAACTACAGGATTCAGCATGGACACCATCACAGGTTAAAAAACAGGAATACAGAACAACAGAGGTTTGTATTTATACCCACTAGAAAATTTGAAAATATCTATTTTAAAATGCTTTTTAAAAAAATGTTTTGTGGTCTTAAATTCTGATCTTAATTCAGACCACAATTAAAAGCTATTCTATGAAACTTAATTTTGTAATCAAGAGGTAATGGTTTCCTGGTTAGATGATAACTGGGTATGACATAGGGCACAGAACTGTACCCCTTGAGCTCTCCTCTGCTGTACAGAGCTAGACCCTGAATCCTTAAACACTCTCAGAGAGTAACTCATGCTTACTGCTCTAGAAGGAGAGTGCTGGATTCAGTCTAGCATTGGATAGAAAGCACTGGGAGCAGAGACTGAAATCAGTCAAGTCAGTAAACAGCTGCTAATGGAAAGTGGAAACTTTGGAATTATGTCCCTTCAGGTTGTTGAGGGTGTTTGGTGTAGGTTGCTTATTTGCTGGATCTGTGTCCTGAGACTTAGGTTCTGTATAAAAGATGAAGCACAGCATCACTTCCACTGCTGCGAGTCGTGTTTTGGAGCATGGGTCATGGCATGGCTCAACAGATCTCTGCCAGAGATGATTTACAAAAGTACTCCTGCTTTGTGAGTCACTGAGAAATTAGGCATGAGTTAAATGCTAAAAGGAGCACTTTCTGTGCAAAAGCAACAGATTTTTGCTTACCTTTTAGTATTTAAACACATGAGTAATGTTATAGGTGAAGTTGCAAGTCCCTTTGGCTTCTCAGAAATCTGTGTTCTTAAGCAAGACCTAACTTTGCTTGCGTGTATGTAGGTAAATCTTGCTTCAGTTACACCACGGTGGACTGCTTCTGGCTTTGGGGTTAAAGGTTTAGGTGTGAAGGCTTTCAGTCATATTTTAGAAAAAGACATGAAAAATGTCTTAAATAACATGTTTAAAATAGAAATTTGGCTAAGTTTCTTAGACCCAAATGTTTCAAGTGTTATATGATTTGCACTGTTATATTTTATATCCTAAATATAAACTCTATTATATACAAAATGATACAATTTACAAATGTATAGAATATTTTATTAGCTCTGGCTGTACCTATTCACATTCTCCTAGCTTCTCTCAGGTATTTATTTGCTTGAACTTCAGTTTATAATCAAAACATTTTTTCATGTTTACATTTGTCTTAAATTTGTTTACTTTTAGGTTTCCAATAATACCTTAAAGGATTTTGACAAAGATAAAGCTTGGAAAGCAGTTGTGGTGCAGATGGCTCAGTAGTTTGGATTCTACAAATGCAGCCAACACAGCACAATCCAATAAAATAAATCAACTGTTTGAATGAAGGTTTAAAAACTTCCATTTTTAAACAGCAATATAGTTGCAGCAATAGGAGCCATGGAATAACACAGTAAATGATGTATCTTTCTAATAATTTTAAAATTTGTTGATAATATTTTAACACATCTGTTTTTTCTGTTGGTATCTGTAGTCTAGTGTTTAGAAGATACCTTTAGAAAAAGGTAATGAGTTGCATGGATTTATGCTGATGGCAAGGTAAAATATTGCAATATGTAGTAGGCTTCATACATTTGCAAGAGATTGTTATAACTGCAGTTATGCAGTCAGTGTGACTGATAAATGCTTTTGTAAAGTTATGAGTACAAGTCATAATTGATGTTTTTGCTTATACTTCACTTTTGTAGGAGTTGTAAAGTGTTCTGCATCTTATTGCTTTTATATAAATAAAAGTCTTTATTATGTGGAAACTCGAGAATGTGGATTGACATTCTAATCTGAGAAGTGACAACAGAATATTCTTTCCCATTAAACTTCGATTTCTGGACTATTAAAAGGGGAAGAGGCTTTTTCTGAGTGCTGGGACACATAAGCCTCTAGCCAAAACTAAAACATCCAACAAACAGAAGCAATCAGCGAAATAACTACTGATACTACTGATATTGAAAGAGGGTTTTTTATTTTTTGTTTTTAGATATATTCTTCTCATTTATTTATTTTTCTAACTGTCTTTAAAACCTATGCAACTTAGCTGCCCTGAAACAAAGGACATCCCCCATACAGATGACCTTTTCTTGTAGCTGAACTAGATTTCAAACACTATTAGAATTTCCATGTTAATAGGGATTCTGGGGTAACCAGGGTGATAGCTGACAAGGTGGTGAGGTTATTTTTCTCCTGGTTTTATTGTTGGGTTTTGAGAGGTTATAGACTTTGAAGTTCCTTCTTTTTTTAATCTAAAATAACTCAGATAATTTGTTTAGAGCGTGTTGCAAAGCTTAACTCTTTGCATTTGAGAAGGGGAAAGAAAGAGAGAAGAGTGTGTCATGTGTGGAGCCTTTCAGGTACATGAACATGTTTCTTTTCATTTTGGGAAAGCTGACAGTTGTTATGGATTTAAATACATAGAGGGTACTCTTTCAAGTTAGAGCAGTGCTTTTTAACAGCATGTATACAACAACCTCCCTGTCTACCTAAAAATATTAAGGTGTGCTGTTGGTCCAGACTACTACATCAACCACCACAGGCTGCAGCTGCTGTTTATTAAATATTGCAAAATTTAATGCCTGTACTGGTGGTACTTGTGTGAACATTCTCTCAACATAACAGATAATTAATTGTATATCTGCCACAATCTTACCAAGTTTGCAAGTAGGAAAAGTTAGGTTGATGTCACACTATTTTTTGAAAAATTGCAAAAAAATAGTTACAGTTCCACCCAAAAATAAACACCTAACTTCTTAAATCTCATGCATGAAACTGGAAAAAGACTGTAGACAGTGTAGAAGTTCTTAATGAATAATTTAAAATAAAAAGAGATTAATATATAGAATAGTGTGGATGTTACTTAACTGTTTCCTTAATGGTTTGTTTTACCTTTTGTGGTAAAACACTTTGTTTAACTGAATCTGTATCTTTAAGAGATTATCTCTGTATTTTCTGTCAAGTGAAGATTGCCTTTGGTTATCCAGGTTAGATATAAGTAGATATTACTTTTGTAAATGATTTAGGTGGGAAAAGAAATTAAGGGAAGTTGCACAGCTGATGGAATTTCCTTTTCACAAAATGCTTATACCAACAAAGCAGACAAAGGCACTTTTACTTCCTTTTGAGTCAAATGGCTTGAGGTGCTCTCTTCTAAAGAGCGAGAGGATTTTAAACAGCTCCTGATTTTTTTTTTTTAATACTTTTTGCTGTCAGGACTGACTATGAAGAAACAAAGCATATATAATAGCAGATATTTGCATTTCTCTTGGGGAATTAAAGTGTTTTAATAAGAAGTCAAGAAAATATCATTCATCAAAAAGAAGGAGGAAAAACGAAATAGGGTAAACAGGATGATTGGGTTAAAATTTGGATTGACCTTGAGTAATGGTTAAGATATATGAGTGTTTAGTCATCTTAGATTAGCAAGGGTGAGGATTAGATGGGAATAAAAAAAAGAGGTTGTAATAGAGCTGCCAGCCATAGATTCTGCTTTCCAGTGAAGATGAATATCCCAGGGCTCCCTGCCTGGCCATGGCTCCCTTCCTGCTCTGTTCAGCACAGTGGAGAAGGGACAATCTGCCAGGTGCAGGACTTCTCCCTGCATGCCTGGTGAACTAGGAGCCCCACCATGGATACTTCTCTGGATGCTGAATTTTCTCATGCCCTGCAAGAAGAAAAATCATGGAGGTAAGAGGCAGGCTTTTAAAATCATAATTAATGTAAGGCTGCCTGCTGACATGACAAGCACTTGTCAGGCAGAGAAAGTTTCACTATAAATGTCACTGTGTGTCAATGTTTTTGTAACTCAAAACAACACCCCCGCCCATATGCCCTTTAGTAAAGGACTTTTTGTATTGATGTTTGACACAGAGTAAATCTTGATAGCTTGAAGATTTAGTTAGGGCCTGTTGGTAGATGATCTGTTTCCGCAGCACAGCTAGAAAGCCTGTTAAAAGGACAAAAATCATACCCCTCTCTGAGGTCAGCCTGGTGAGGTAAATGTGGATGTGCCATGTTAGAAGAGTTTCTGCTTGGAAATGTGCCATTTCCTGCCTTGCTGGGTATCACTAGAATTAATGCCATGGCTGACTGCTTAGCTTATACCAAGAGTCAGGTTCCCAGCTTAAAAAATTAGCTAGATAAAATTAAGAAAAAGTTTAGCTGGGTAAAATAAAAAAAAAGCAGACTGAAGCATTTCCTGAAAAAAATAAATTGTGTGCACATGGTGCATGAATGATTTACTTTTAGTTGCAACCCCTCCATATGTGCTAATAATTCCAGTTTGTCTGAGCTTTAAGTTCATAAAAGTATAGATTATCTACAAGAATTTTGGAGAATTGTGAATATGCTTTATTTTTTATTATACTTTTACTTTTTTCTAAGTAGATTTTTTTGAACACTCAAGTTTTTAGTTTTATTCTTTAATAATTTTATTAACAATTCCATAGGGGTCTTAAATTATTTTCTTTCATAATTTAAAAAGAAATTTTCTTTATTTTTTTAACAGTGCACAGGACTTTCAGCAACTTAATTTGGAATGAGATTAGCTTTAAAATTCCTTTCTAGCCCAAATCACCTTATAATTGTATGATTCTAATCTTAGGAAAAGAAAGTGTTCAGAATCTGTGGGTTGTGCCTGGGTTGTAAACAGTGCATCTAAGGTGCTACCTGCTGTGATATTTGCTGTCATTGCTGGATGCTTGTGGCTCCTGAAGGAAAGGGATGGGGTGGGTGAGGACAGTGAGGGTCCTCTTGAATCACACAGATGAAATGAGTAGTGGTTGTCTTCAGACTGTGGATCAGTAACTTGTTGAGTACAGAAGCACTCAACAGCTTGTGTTTCACCAGCCTGTCTTGTGTCTCGCTGGGGTATAGGTGCCCTGCTGGTACCTCTGCTGTGCACCTGCCCTGGCTGCACAGGCTCACTCTGGGCAGGAGATACAGGCACAATCCCAGAAAAATGCAGTTCCTAAGCAGCTCTGAATCCCTTGTGAGTATTTTGTTGTGGTGGCATTTCACACCGCTCCACTCCAGAACATGCCCAACATAACAAGAAGCTGTTAAGTTATAAACAGCTGTACTGTGGTTCATGTAAGTGGTTCTGGGACAAGATGTCTGTTGCTTGGAGCAGGCAATACAGCTGCACACAGGGTTAAAATAATAGCCAGGGGGCTGTTATAATATGGTATGTGTGCCTGTGTTGGTGAAACTGGGAAGAATGTAGTGATATGTCACAGGGTCCTCTTGCAAAATGTAGTGTGAATGTGGCTATTGTGCTGCAAAGAAGGCTGGGACTTCTCCAACATGGATGTGACAGGAACATGCCTTCCAGCATAGACATTGATGTTAATTTAACAAAGTCAAAGAATAATGTAGCCAAAGCAGAAATCTCTTTGGAGTTCTGTGCTTAAACTCCAACATCAGTTTACAAAATCAATTTCTGGCTGCTTAGGTATGTCTGGTAATATATCTATCCTAACTTTCATTTTCAAATGTTCCTCGTACACACTTGAGCAGTGATGGAATGATGTTCTCTTTTGAAGGGGGGCAAGTACATATCCAAGCATGCAAAATTGATGGAGACAGAGACTAATTAAGAAAAAGATACTTGAGCTGATGGTCCAGAGATCAAATTTGACCCAAGAGAAAATGGGGACTCTAAAATACTGGATTTCACTCTGTATCCTAAAGTCAACCTGTGCATTTTATTAAAAAGCACCCTGAACCAGAAAGTTACCATCCTGAAATGTGCAAGATTTGGACTCAAACCTTCTTGGACTCTGAAATGTTTAGATTCTGGCTTTTCTGTGTTCTTGACCAGTGCTCTAATAAAGATTTAGGGTGCAAAATATCTATTAGCAAAGTGCAAAAGGAGGCCCTTCCTATTAAGAGTTTTTAAAGAGTCTCTTTTTCTGAAGATAGAGGGAACATTGGTAGAAACAGAATGTTTTGCTATCATCCATTCTTCAGGGATAAAGTAATGAAAGCATCAAACTAAAGACAAATGTGGATTAAAATATAGGTAAGGTATAGTAAGTAACAAGGACTAAAAGACATCTGTTAGAAATTATTTTCAAAATTATGATCAAGAATTAGAGTCCTATTTGAACAGAGAGCCCAAGAGATATTGCTCCTGTAAATTTCAAATGCATCAATGCTTCTACGTAACTGATAGTTCTCAAAAAATGTGGCATGGGTCAATTATACTGCCCAGCTTTTACTGAGAATCTTAATGGGGGTTCCAAAACCTGATGTAATATGAACAGTGGATGAACACAGTAATTCCAGGATACAAATTATGCAGGAACAGTAAAGTAGCTAGTTTAGACATGATATTAAAAAAAGGGTTCAAATGAAGCAAATAACAATAAAGTTGTTGCCTGTTGAACTTAATAACAGCTTCAGTCCACACAGAAACTCTTGACTGAAACACAGTTCCTGCATAGAAAGAGAACATTGTTAGATCTGTGATATGATCAGCTTTATTCAGAATGTGAGAGAGAAGAAATGTGCTAAGAAATACCAGAAACAGTAAGAGAATAAAATTTCTTAAGGTGAATCACACTGTTAATTTCTGCGGAAACTGGAGGTAAATGATACACTAAGGAGAGTCAAAATGGTATTTGCTAGAGAGTAAAACATCCTTGAACTGCTCACTCCTGAATATTGTCTGCAGGACCCTCATCTTACAAAAGGGTATAGTAAAAATTAAGAGATATATTACTTACCATAGAAAATATCGGGGAGCTATGCTGGAAAACAATAC